TCTTTGTTTATTAGTGAATCATTACCCTTATTTCACTTCATATGCTGAATTATTATTGTTTCTATGAAAATCATCAAATATCAGTCATTCTCCGGGAAAAAGTGAAAATCTTCCAGAGAATCCTTCTGTAAACAGAAAAATCCTTTGGATTTCTTGCTTTAGCTGGTGTGTAAACGGAGAAGTTCTAAGAATAACCCAGTTACCACAGAAATTCAATTTCAGGATCCCAGGAAAGTCCACAGTTAAGAAATATTCAAAAGGCCTGAGTCAGACATTTGGATTTCCCGAGATCCCACACTTCAGATCAAAAGCCAATCTACAGGGCTAGAAAATGCAGCTAACCCAAAGTGCATAAAATTATAGTTAATGTTTAACCGATGCTAGCTCCAAGAGCAATTCAATCCCAACACACTGTCAGATTCAAATGCACAACAAAAACACAAGTAAAACTTTTGCATGAGTATTAATAAGTGAAATTCTAGTATTTCACTGTTACTTTCCCTAATCGCCTGGACGCTAATCTGATACTTAGCACTAATTAGCAGATCTCTGCCTGTGTGTAGTGCATGTACAGTTTATAGTCGCAACTTGCTAATACAACTTGCTAATATAAGCAGATAACCTCACTACCTCTTCTCATCCAAAAATGGTAACTTCCAGCTTAAATGTGGAGTCACTTTGCCTGCATCTATCTTTTATATATAGTTTGTAGCTCAGACATCGCCAAAATTCTTCTGAAGGCGTTATCAGAGTTTCTAGCTAAATTAACATGAAAACATAAAGGAAACGAGATGACAGCATTTTTAATACTAGGTCTATGAGTTCACTGTCGTGGTGATGACACTGAATAAAGTGCTCGTTATCACTTGGAAGTGCTAAAATGTGACAAAGGGACCCGTTAGCCTTTTCAGTTGCCCAATAGTTCTCCTTGGCTCACCTTTCATAGGGGAACCTTGAGGACCTCCAGTGGACACTACTACCACCCCCATACCAGGCCCTCTGCGGTATGGGAAGTTCTCTGGGCTATACTTTTCACTGATCACCTCCACAAAGGTACGGCCATCGTTATCCTCTGGTGGCTCCATAGCTCCTTCCTGGTGCGCAGCCTCCCCTTCAGCTGCCCCACAAACAAAGCAAACACTCCCAGCGATTAGCTGCAAGCATATGCATATTTTAACCAGCCATTGCTACAACACACACTTATTTTTATTCACTGATTCATATACAAGTATTTCTGAATAACCACTACATCATTTGACCTATAAAACATGAAACATGTGTAACAGGGTCATAAATCACATTGTTATAATTACACAAAATGTGTTCTAAACCCCAAACTGCTCCTTTTATACCTGACTTTTAGGACCTCCAAGCCTGTAGTTGTATTCATTAGAGCCCCTCCTCATTCTTTTCTTCTTTCTTCTTTGGTGCAATACTATAAATACAGTGTACCCCTTTTGCCTCTCCCCTTTTTCTACAATTCCCCTGTGGGAGAGGTGGGTGTCATTTCTTTCCAACACCTTAAAACACACATAATTCATATTTAGCCACCCTGATGTTTATGATTGCGATGTTAGTTCAATTATTGTCATTATTAAGCCTGTTTTTGTAAGATGTTATAAGAGTGTAGTATGTGTGTATCATAAATGTGTTTTAGGCGCCATAAATGCTAGCAAGAATATATACTCCTTGCTAGCTTGGGAGTTGTGGTGGGTTGAGCTAACCCTCTTCCCCACTGTTTGTATTTGGTCTAGGAGCTGGAGTGGGCAAATTATTTACTTGGGAGGTCTTTCTTTCTTTTACCTTTTTTATCAGGTATGTCGGATTTCATGTTGTTGTTTTATGTCAAATATGTTACGTGTAAATGCATATTTTATGTTTAATGTAAAAAAAATGCCAGCCCTTTTTCTACAATTCCCCTGTGGGAGAGGAGCTGGAGTGGGCAAATTATTTACTTGGAGGTCTTTCTTTCTTTTACCTTTTTTATCAGACACAACGCAGAATCACACCGGTTACACATGCACAAAGTAACATAGTGAAGTGTTCTTGTTTTGGTGCTGAATTTACAGGCACACAAAAATGAGGCAAAATTCTGATATTCCAGGAGCTGAAATCAGAAAATCTTTTACTTTGGTGTCATAAAAAAATTTATTACTCATCAAAAAATAAATAAATAAATCTATTAACTAGATAATTATTGCAGCTCTGGTCCAGACTGGCTTATACAATAAATTCCATGGATTTTTAGAAGGTGACTGGAAGCTGGACTTAAAGCTTAGTAATAGTGTGAAGAAGCTTTAATAACCTGAACAAGCTATCATAACTAACAGAAATCAAAAGATGCAGCTGCCTAGATTCATAATAATGTAATGTAACAATGTACACTGCAGCCACAGCGTTATCTCTACTGAAATGAAAACCTAAAACAGATCTTGGGTAATGTTACCATAAAAATCCACATAAACTGAAGAAAAAGTACAAATTAAATTGGTGGTAATATGGTAATTCACTCATACACACTCAGACATCTGAAAACCCTTTTTTAAATATTACATTTATACAAACTACCTATGCAGCAAAGCAATCACTGTGAGAAATGCACAATTCAATTCAATCAAAACACAGCGCCAAATCACAACAACAGTCGCCTCAAGGTCCTTTCTATTGTAAGGAAGACCCTTCACTAATACATACAGAGAAAAACCCAACAATCATATGACCCCCTATGAGCAAGCACTTTGGCGACAGTGGGAAGGAAAAATTCCCTTTTAACAGGAAGAAACCTCTGGCAGAACCAGGCTCAGGGAGGGGCGGCCATCTGCTGCGACTAGCTGGGGAGAGAGAAGGATGGCAGGATAAAAGACATGATGGGGAAGAGAGCCAGAGATTAATTCAATAGCTGACAACACCAGACTGAAGGTATTCAGTTATATTCAAGGAGCTTATATTTGAACTTAGTGCGCTGCACTTAGGTGGCAAGAAAACCAGCAAAGCCATCCGAGTTGCAAAAGACACAGCCAGAATAAACCAAACACACAGAGCCAGAACATGGAGGAGCAGTTAGAAACAGGAGGGAGATTAAATTAGCAGATGAAGACACCAGAATTCATAAATAAGGTGTGCTGGATTATAAGGGGCACTGTCGATTTTTCAGAAAATCAAAGGATTTTAAGAGCGACGTATTTTCCGAAAAACACGGTAATAAGAAATTCCACATCACTGAAGTTGCACAATTTTTACAAACCAATTCTGATTCATGTCTTTCATTCAATGATCCGCTTTCGCCCTTCTCATTCTCTGTCGCTGCCATGCTTTTTCTGCCATGTGTGTATGAAAACAACGGCACCGCGGATGAATGTTTTACCCATATTCTATCATGATATTTCATTTTCTTATCATTCCCTAACATCATACCGGTATTACCGTGAACGGTATGATATGGCCCAATCCTAAAATACACAATAAAAGACTGAGACATACACAAAGAACAAAAATACAAAAGAAAAAAAATCTAATTAACAACAGGGAACAAAACCAGTAACTGCAGAAAAGCAGTAAATGCCTACAGTCACATGATGTAAATGAAAGAACAATTGCCATTTTTAAATTTTTGCTAACCAGATTACCTCTGCAATTGCCTTGCAACTGAAGGTGGTTGCCCAGAGTTTTCAGGTTTTAAATGCTTGTGTAAAAAAGACCCAAACACCAGCTTTTCCTTGTTTCGCTGAGTTACCTGTAATATTTTTGCTTGTGTCACTGAGCAATTAATACAACAGTTAAAGATTAGACAAGAACTTTGACAGTTTGTTGGCTAATTTTCTCTCAACTAATTGTTTTAACTAACAGATATCAGATGTGATCAAATCATTAACCAAGCAATTACCATATCATATCTATAGCCACAGATTTATTAGTGAGTGCAATGGATTCAAGCTCCAGACACAATAGAAGCTCAGCTGTCTTCTTGCTCTTGACTGACAAACACCAGTCCAATAACATCCTATCGAGAAATTCCACAAGCAGTTCTGCCACTCAGTGAAACTTCCTCACATCACATTTCAGCTATTTATCTTCAATTTTACTAGAACCACAACATAATCACGTTGAACATGACAGGCTCACAACTGTTCACATCTCCTTAATGAAACAAATGTATCCAGGCGGACAAACATCTACATTTCTTGAGTTACAAAATGACAATTAGATGACAGGACACAAGCAGGTTTCCTCCTCTCTTTATCAGCAGAGCACAGAGACATTGACCAGTTTAAATGTCCTTGGATTTGCCCAAAAAAGAGGAACAAGAAGGCAGACTATTTCTGCTGAACTTTTTTAAATTAGAAAAAAGACTGTTTCTGCTGAACGTTTAAAATTAGAAAAAGAAAAAGTAAAGAAGTGCTTTCTTGATCTCACTCAGCACTCAAGGCTTGGAGGGCAGAGCCTCACTGTGGAATCTGCACAAGGGAAGCATAAATTATGTAGTGGATTAGACAAAATAAAAAAATAAAAGGCTACTGTTACAATATCTTATTTGTCAAAAAAGGGCTGTAGTAAATTGCAGTAAAGGATGAAATCAATTTGTTACTGTCCAGATAATAAATCAAGACATTTGTTACAATGGTGTGGTTTGTTTTTACTGACCTAAGACAAATAAATACCACAGCAGATGTGTGTTTGAACCAGTGACCTGATTAGAGGAATTCAGAACCATACCTGAATTGTTAAAACAGACAGCGTCTTACCTGAAGCGATGTCTGCCTTAATCTGACCACGATTGCTGCTCGCCGTCTTCTTTTGCTTTTGTACCGATGGCCTGTCAAAGAAACCAAGAAAAGCCTTATTCATTTTCAGTCCACTGTATTATTCCATTTCCATACTGAAACTATGACAGCCTTTGGGACAGGCACTGTGACTTAATCAGCAGGTCTTACTCCAGAGTGGCTGGTGGGGCTGACGGATGACTGCAAAAAAATGCGGGTTCCTCTTTGGTCAGGGGTGGGATTTGTTTCAGACTATCCAGAACAGGAAGGACTGGTAGGTCATTCACCACATAGAGAGCAAACAAGGCCAAAGGTCAATTTCTGCCTCGTCAGGCAGTATCAATAAAAGAGAAAGAGACGGGAGAACAGAAGCACTCCCAACCAGTACCACTGGATGTGAGTAGTGGTAGAAGCTGAGGTCTCTCTTAGTATTTACTTATGTAATAAAGTAGTTTTAATGTACTTGTACTTTGTAAAAAATATTTCTATATTAACCTGCTTTCTACATTAACCTGCTTTCTACTTGTACTTTACTGTATTCTGGGTGCAAATATTGTTCTTTGGAGGCCACACCATTTATTTTGTACCATCATCATTTTATTCCTGAACTCAATAAATAATCGGGGTAAAAGTCATAAATCTAAATATTTGCGATCTAAATAAATATTAATATTTAGATTTACAGTGTATTTTTGTAATACGGGTTTCAGCACATTTCTAAGCAAAGTCTTTTTTTAGTTCTTGGTTCCATCTCTGTCCATCCATGAAAAAAAAGCCATTGTGTGTGATTGAACGTGAAGCTATTGAACATTCGGCGTAAACACTTTTGACAAAGCATTAATATTCACAGCGATCCAGACTTATTACAATCAATTGTCAATTCTCACAACATACATAACAACACTAAAAGTTGCTTCTTTAATATGGTATTATCTTATCTTCTTCAGATGGATTTAAGCCGATGTAATGAATGCGGATTATTGATTGGGCAAATGTGTTACATTAATCTTATTACACTACAAATAGGCCGAAAAGGCACTTACACTTCAAAATTGAGAGATATTCGAATAGAATTTGGCCTGTCCACCAATGCGTAAAGCTAGCCCAGTACAGAACACAACAACATCCCTTTCCGTTCTAGCACAAACGTAAAGAAATCAGCGAAACAGCTGCTGAACAATGAGCGCGAACTGTGTGCCGCTGACAGCCTGGGAGCAGACAGTGTCCAGTCCGGGCTCAACATCGCAGTGACCCCCCAGCAGCTCGGTGGAGCCGGACATGGACCACAGAAGGCAGCGACACAAACACACACTGAACAATCGCCTGCACAGTGACAGCCTGCTCACACACCGAGCCAGGACCGCATAACTCACAATCTCCTGATTCTGCCTACCTTTAACGTCTACTTTGAAATCCCCCTTGTTGATGAAAACAAACCAGCTGTCAGTTTGCTCTCCCCTAACTACCGGAAGTGACGTAGCTCGATAGCTGAAAATACGTTTTTTCCCCCTGTTTAATTCAATAATTTTGGGGGGTGATAAAATATTTGCTTGACATCATTTGTATTTTTGAACGTTTTTTTCCGGGATGGGATTAAATGAGAAAAAAATACATGAAAAATAAAACCGGAGGTACCCAGTGTAGTGATCTATGATGTCACTGAGTTTTTACCAATGACTGTATTGGTTTTTACTGCTGCTGCTGCTGCTGCTGATTGTTGGTGTCTTGTTTCCCGTGCAGATGATCTTGTGCAGATGCTGTCTTTTCCTATGATGTTACTATGATGGCAGACATGTTGTCACAGCAGGTGTAACTTAAATGGTGGCTACATTTAGCTCAGCTGTGCAGAGTTTCATGAAATAAGAAACCCATGTCAAACAGCAAAGTTCACTGATACTGTCTGAATGGGACAAGCAATAAATGTGATTATGAATGTGACTTTAGACCACCACTGAATGCTTTCTTGTATCCCTGCCACACACACAGTGTTGTGATCTCACTCAACTGCATTTTGTGCACACACAGATACATGGATCAGTTTAGGGGAGGCAAAAAGAAAAAGCAAGGCTAGGTCTGCTTTTTTAAACCACTACTTTTAGAGTTTATGGAGGCTGTTGCTTGTTAACTAATGTTAAGAAAATGTTACTGAATTTCCTGATTGAAACTGTTATACTGAACGCGACTGACAGAAATTCAAGGTTCAAGGTTCAAGGTTCTTTATTTGTAACATGCATAGTTATACAAGTATAACACACAGTGAAATGTAGCCTGACACGCTCCTCGACATGTGCAAAAATGGGGGGGGGGGGGGGGGTAGAGGAAGAACATTATAATATATATATATATATTATATATATATATGTATATATATATATATATACACATATAGAATACACTGGGTATGTGCAAAGCAGGTGAATCTGTACATTGATATGAATAGATATCTGACTATTTTACAGGATAGACAATATAAACATAAAAATTAAAGAATTGAAATGTACATTGTTAGTGTCTGGAAGAGTCCTGTCTCAGTCAATTAAGATGATGTGATGTGTGTAGGCACGATGGCTTGGGATAGAAGCTCCTCTTAAGTCTCTCTGTCCTTGCCGGAAGATGCGGACCTTCTACCAGATTGCAGAAGTTGGAACAGTTTGTTGCCAGGATGGGTATCTGCGCTGCTCTAGTCCGGCCTTCCTGGTGTAGGTACTGAAGCGGGGGAGTCCTGCAGCGCGTCTGCTGTACGGATCACTCTCTGGAGAGCTTTTTCTTCACACAGCTGTTCCCAAACCACATGGCATGTTCTGTGTGAGGATGCTCTCCACAGCGCGTATAGAAAATCCTGAGGATCTTTGGAGAGACCCTGAACTTCCTCAGTTTCGTAGTGATAGCGCTTGCCTAGCTTTTGGTCTGGACTGAATGTGGGCGCCCATGTCAGTCTGAGAATGTGGACACCAAGATTTGAAGGACTGCAACTCTCACTGGAGCTCCATTGATGAAATGGGCTTGTGGCTGACCCCTTCTGAAGTCCACCACCATCCTTGTCTTGCTGACGTTCAGCTGGGGTGGTTGTCCAACGATGCCAGATTCTCTCACTTCATCCATGGAGCGCCTCATCGTTGTTGGAGATGGCACCAACACCATGTGTCGTCAGCAACTTCACAATGGTTGGACATGACATGTTTCAAAAGTAAACAAAGAAATCTTGCTGGGACATGTGAGCTATTATTAATTGAAATATATTTTATTTTCTTTATTTATCAGTAGCTATCTCCCCAGTCAAAAGAAATAAAAGCACCTGGATATCAGAACAATTTCGACTCTCACATCTGGAACCAGGCAAACAAAAAAAAAGCACAGAAGAGTGAGGCGTGTCTACATGTCTACATGTCAAAATCTGAGAGCCTCAGTCATTGAGTATATGAGTACCTGATGCCTAATTTTTCTATTTTGCTTTTCATAAGTACAGATATTTGCATCATGAAATGGTGCAGAAAGGTACAAACTGGGGCATAAAAATGATCATAATGCAGGGAAACTAATGATCACTTTTTCCACCTCCTTCTCTGTACAATTAAACACGTTTATGATTGCAAACAGATATGTAGTTCGATGCAGCCTCTGTATTATCACAGGGCATTACATCTTCTAGCCTTCGTTTATGAAGGCAGAAGCTCTTTGCAAATTAAAATCTCTGAAATCCTTAAAATTAGAACTCACTGAATTTCCAAAGGTTTTGAAGTACTTTGTTTGGTGTTAATTTCTGATAACATTTTATGATTTCCTAAAAACCTCATCTGACTGGTTGTTGGCCCTCATCTAAAAAAACCCCCATTACATTAAAAACAAATAATTTTCTAAAAAGCGTAGTGCAGTTTCTTTTTTCTTTTTTTAAAAGACTGAGCAAGTTTAGCTGCGTAGCATTTAGTCATATTTAAGGTTCTACAAGAGAGAAATATTCTAGTTCACACTGCATTTAGTTTCTCTACAAAATGATGGAAGACTGTCTCCTTCAGTTCTGAAATAAGTCCAAAATATCTTTGGTCCATAGATAAAAAGAATTAACAAAACTATACTAAATCATATTCACAGTGTTACTAACATAAAAGTAAAGCAGGGTGATAGAAGTCAAAGGAGCTTGCAAAGAAAAGCGTCTGGACTTCTTTAAGTTGCTTGAAGACGTTTCACCTCTCATCCGAGAAGCTTCTTCAGTTCTAAGGTCAAATGGTGGAGAGTCCCAGATATAAACCTAGTGGGAGTATCCCCCACAGAGGGACAATTGCCTGAGCCAAGGTGTGAAACTGGTGTGGGTCACAATCAGCCAGAGTTTCGGGTGAGTTCATTGTGAAACCTGGCCCCACCTTATCATGCGAATTCCTGAGGTCAGATGGCCCAGGATGTGAGTGGGCGTTAAGGCGTCTGGGAAGGGATCTCAAACTGGATTATAGATGGCAGAGAGTTGGTGTCATAAACCACCGCCTCTGTTCAAAGATGGTCGCTCACAGTGGACATAGATGGCTTCTTTCACTCCTCTTTCAAACCATCTGTCCTCTCTGTCCAAAATGTGCCAATGTTCACATTTTGGACAGGGATATTGAATTCTATAAGATAAAGCCATAAATATGCGAGTCTGAGTCGTCTATCAAAAGTTAGAGCTATTTATATGAAGATGTACAAAAACGCTTTATTTCGTCAAAACAGTGCGTTTCTGGCGAAATCAAATCATTTGAATGGGGAACTCGCCCGAAACAAAGTATAAGTTTTCATTATGTGAATAACTTGAAAATCTTAGCTCAAACAGCTGCAAAACCTTTTTTCCCAGCACGGGGATATTGAATTCTATAAGATAAAACCATGAATACGTATATCTGAATCTTCTATCAAAAGTTACAGCTGTCTTTATGAAGACCATGAAAAAGGCTTTATTTCACCACGTTAGTGCGTTTCTCGCTATTACATGCATGTAAATGGGCACTACTAAATATGTGAGTCTGAGTCGTCTATCAAAAGTTACAGCTATTTATATGAAGTTGTACAAAAAGGCTTTATTTCGTCAAGACAGTGTGTTCTCACTGTTACATGCATTTGAATGGGGAACTCGCCCGAAACAAAGTATAGGTTTTCATTATGTGTATAACTTGGAAATCTTAGCTCAAAACAGCTGCAAAACCTGTTTTCCCAGCACGGGGATATTGAATTCTATAAGATCAAGCCATGAATATGTGTGTCTGAGTCGTCTATCAAAAGTTACAGCTAACTTCATGAAGTTGTACAAAAGCGCTTTATTTCGTCAAGACAGTGCGTTTCTGACTATTACACATATTTGAATGGGAACTCGCACGAAACAAAGTATAGGTTTTCATTATGTGAATAACTTGGAAATCTTAGCTCAAACAGCTGCAAAACCTGTTTGCCCAGCACGGGGATATTGAATTCTATAAGATAAAGCCATAAATATGTGAGTCTGAGTTGTCTATCAAAAGTTACAGCTATTTATATGAAGTTGTACAAAAATGCTTTATTTCGTCAAGACAGTGCGTTTCTCACTGTTACATGCATTTGAATGGGGAACTCGCACGAAACAAAGTATAGGTTTTCATTATGTGAATAACTTGAAAATCTTAGCTCAAACAGCTGCAAAACCTGTTTTCCCAGCACGGGGATATTGAATTCTATAAGATAAAGCCATAAAGTAAGTAAAGGGAAGTAAAACGTGGACTGCCCAATCAGAAGCTACGCTACAGGACGCACTCAACGACGTAGACTGGGACATGTTCAGAGCATGCGCAGTCGACATCAACGAGTTTACGGAAGTAGCAGTATGCTTCGTCAATATGCTAGTGGAGGAGATTATCCCCACTGCGAGAGTCACCACATTCCCAAACCAGAAACCGTGGATGGACAGATCGATCCGCACTGCAGTAAACGCCAGGACCGCCTCCTACAACGCGGGTCTCGCCACTGGCGATATGAGCGCCTACAAAGCGGCCTCATACGGCGCGCGGCGCGCGGTGAGAGATGCCAAACGCCGGTACGGGAACGTGTGGAGTCCCGCTTCCACCAGGTCGACACACGGAGTATGTGGCACGGACTACGCACCATTACGGACTACAAAGCCAGGGACACTGCGCTGATCAACGCTGACTCTGCATTCACCAACGAGCTGAATCAGTTCTACGCCCATTTCGAGGTTAGCCAGGCGGCTAATGCTATCTACCGCCTGACTACCGAGGACAGTGACGTCATCAGCGAGAGACCGGTGACCAGCATCGTGGAGCATGACGTCCGAGCGGCACTGAGGAGAGTGAACACAAGGAAAGTGGCGGGGCCAGACGGCATCACCGGCCGTCTGCTGCGCTGCTGTGCTGACCAGCTAGCAGGTGTGTTCACTTACATCTTCAACGAGTCCCTGGCGAAGTCCGTGGTCCCCACATGCTTCAAAAGATCCACCATCATCCCTGT